ATGTAGCTAACATGTTTTTAACATGATTAGCCTGTTGTTAGCATGTTGTTAACATGATAAACCTGTTGCTAACATCTTGCTAGCACGTTTCTAGCATGATTATCATGTTGCTTGCATGTTGTTAGCATGATTAGCACATTGGTAATATGTTTAAGTGAGTTGCTAGCATGACTTAGCATGTTGTCCTATGATAGTCATTAAGCTTTGGTAGTGATAGACAGCTTAAACATTCTATAAGTCTTAATGTAGAAAAGTTTTGACCTAATAAAAGTCTATGGCACTTGATCATCCGTTTGACAAAAATCGTAAGTCCAATCAGTTAGAACGGATATAGCAACCTGAGTCAGACTAGACTGAAGGTCTGACCCGACTTTGGTGGTTGCAGCTTGAAAGCTCTAGGAGGACATTTTCTAATACTAATTCATGCACATAACCTTCATTACTTGGGTCTATTGTCATATCAGCTTTTTTTACTCAAACATAATGAGTTAGCTAAATGCATGTCTGTTTAATACATCTGATGCCGTTTTAGTTATGTTTTAGTTATCTAAATATTATCCCCCGGCATGAGCGTCAGAACCATTGTATGTGGGTGGGACAAGATCCACCCACTTTTTAAGACCAATGATACTGGACCCACTCACTTTTACCATCTCTAATTCAGCGCATATGTTTGTTCACTTTTCAGTGCGCCGCCACTCAAATCCATTCCCCTTGAGGAATGCCCTAATAAATTAAACTCCATTCTGCAATTAGCTACAGCCTTGAATTTCACACGGCTGCTTCTTCAAATCCATTCCGCTTTGCTCATTCAGAGTCCATATAAATTAAACTTCATTCCGTGTTTTCAGCACTCACGCCTGCTTTACTCCCACTACACAGTCAGATAAACAAAGCATTGTAGCATATCTTGCCGCTCAGGTGGGTCTGGCTGTGTGCTCACATACTGTCACTAAACAAGCTGCTATTTAACTGAATGTTCATCATTTGTTCGCCTGTTGCTTTTAAAGGCATCATATAGTCTTTGTTGCACCATTGAATAACAGTTACACTTACACTATGTTGGACTCACCCACATTTTTGTTGCTTCTGACGCCCATGTCCCCCAGTGTCTAAGGTGGTTTGACCCTGATTTAATTGTCTCTGAGCACAAACAAAGCAGAGCTGAAACTGCTTAACTCTTGTGTGGAACCCACTTGAATTACATTTCTAAAAAAAATTGTGAAATAAAAACTTCTGTAACAGAGTGCCTGGGGTGCACCATTCAACCACACAACTATAGTCTTCACCAGCATCAGTCAAAGGATGGAACAAGGGGCGAGAGGCTTCTAATGGCCAGTGGCAAAGGGAGCCGGGGATGAACCTCTCACAGGCTGATGACTCAGCACCTATTAAGCTTTCAGTCCAGAGAGCCAGCCGAAATCAGTGCAAAGTTAAAAGAAGCTGACATTAAGGCTGAGTCTAGCATGACTGCGGCTGTTGAATGTGGCTCCAAACCTCACCACCCATTAGTGCTGTATTCTGCTCTATCCAGGGCTACAGAACTAACAGAGAGGGTTTCTTCTTTGTACACAGGGCTTTTAAGAAGTGGAATACGTATAAGGCACTGCAGTGGCCATGTGTTGGGTGTTACTTGATGTTAAGAGGGTGGAAATTTTCAACAGTTGGTGTGTGTGTGTGTGTGTGTGTGCTGCGATTAAATAACAGCATCTATGGAATGAAGGAGAAAACTTAATTTGTCTAAAAGCACTCCAGTGGAAGAAAACAGCCCTTAGAAAGCATAAGTTGTTTTTCTTGGTGAAACAAAATTCAAGGAAGTTACTAATGACTTTCATAAAACTCGGTCATGAACACCTAAATAGTTCATCAGCCTCCTGCTGCACATTACACTCAGCATAAGTTTGTTTCCATCCATTTACAGAGATTATAACTCCCCACTACTCAGAGCCATTATCGTTTTTAAAGTTATGGCAAGCTAATTGGTTCTTGTGAGAGAATGAAAGGAACGAATAAAAGCCTGTGCTTTTCAATCCCATTACACATGAAAAGC